GTCTACATTTTAATTAAAAACTTCTGTTCATGAAATAGGAGCTCTGGTGGCATAGTGCCTAAGGCACTTGACTGCTAACCAGAAGGCTGGCAGTTCAAACCCTCCAGCCACTCCTTGGAAGGAAAGCTGGGCAATCCATTTCTGTAGTGATACCGCCTCGGAAACCTAAGGAGGGGTCCCTATGAGTCGGATCTGACTCGATGGCAGTGAGTTTGGTTTTTTTTGTTTAGTTCATGAAAAATACCATGAGGGGAATGAAACGACAAGTGGGAGACATCCATAACATACAGCCAACAAAGGGTTTTTATCTACAGTATACAAGGAACTTCTAAAAATCAGTAAGAAATAGAGAAATCTCAGTGGAAAACTGAGTAGGAAATTTGATGTGGTCACAAAGCAAGCTATCCAAATGGCCAATACATGAGAAGGTATAAAAGCTTATCATCTTTAATATCCAGAAAATGCAAATTAAAACCACAATACCTAAAAATTAATAATACTAATCACTGGCAAGGAAATGGAACAAGCATAAATACATGCTGATGGTATAAGGGTAAACTCGTACAATCTTAGAAAACTTTTTGGTACTGTCTACTAAATTTGTACATATGGCTATTTTATGACCCAGAAATTCCACTCTTAAGTATATTTCCAATAGAAATACTATATATGTGTACTCTGATAGCATAGTGGCTAAAGCACTTGACTGCTAACCAGAAGGCTGGCGGTTCAAACCCACCAGCCACTCCTCGGAAGGAAGGTTGGGCAATCCTACTTCCGTAGTGATACTGCCTCGGAAACCCAAGGAGGGGTCGCTATGAGTCGGGGCGGACTCGATGGCACATAACAACAACAACACAACAAATATATGTGTACTAAAACTAAAAGAATTATCTAAGATTTTCACAGCTGTGTTATTCATTATAGCTAAAAAACTGAAAACAACCCAACTGCCATCAATAGAAGAAAGAGATATAAATCGATAAATTCAGACAAGAGAACATGATACTGGCAAGGCAAATAAACTGTCATACACAACAACAAAAGGAAAGATTTACACAAAAACGTTGAATAAAAGTTAGGGACAAAAGAATATATATGGTATTCCATTTATATAAAACTCAACAACAGGCAAAAGTGTAGTTTTAGAATTCAGGATCGTGGGAACCTTTGAGAAGATAGAGGGTGGTGATTTAGAAGAGACATAAGGGGTGATTTAGGGGGGTGGTCTAATTTTGACCAGAGTAATGGCTACATGAGTGTATCTATTTTGTGATAATTATCAATTCATTTGTGATTTGTATAGTTTCCTGTATGGTTATTTCAATTATAAATTATTTTAAAAGTATTTAAAAGGTATGTGGTCAGCCTCTTACTTTAAAAACTGGCTTAATAAGGAAAATTTTTCTTTAAATATCCTCCTAATGCCATATTTCTGGCTTTTATTCTAAAAATGATACTCAAAGTGAAAGTTTGAGTTTCTTAAATTTGGGAACACAGTATCCAAACGTTATAATGTCTTCATATCAGCAGCAAAGCCCAAAACAGGCGTTTCAAACTAAAATGAAAAATATGGAATAAAAACAGCTTTCTTTCAACATAGTAATGTAAAATTAGAACTATACTGGGTAAAGTCCTCATGTCATTATTTTAATTCAGATTCATTCAACAATTAGGATTAATTATGCACCCATAACTTCCTGAAGCAAATATTCAGCATGTAATGAAAGAAATGGTTTAGCAAGCATTACATTTCTATGTTTGAATTCTAGCTCCATGACTGATTTGTGATGATGATCTTGGACAAATAGCTAAATCTCAGTTTCAGTTATCTCATCTATAAAAACAGGTTTTCGCATGAACACAGTCCTTAACTTTGTTGTTTACTGCTATAGCCTATCTCCAATGTGTTTTCTCCCATAAATATGACCACTTCTTTGAAAATGAAATTAGCAACTCTGATGTACCTGAATGTTACAGTTCCACTCGAAGGATGGTATTCTGCTGTTCTACAAGGATCCCTGGCAGCAAATAACAAGTTCATAGACAAAAAAAGAATATGCATCCATTTCATATAATATTAATTAACAAGTTGGCATTTTAAAGAATCACTAGCACCTTTTGGAAATCAGTTAAAGTATTATTTATTTATGACATATTTACATACTTACAGAATGTATCCAATACATCATCTTGCACAGTACCGTATAATGAACATCATGTACTGCGAATAAAACGATCCAAGTCTCTTAATCATTTATGGATAACCCAACATCTTTTAGGACATAAAATATTATCAATTTGGCATCTGAGAACACGAACTCCTGTTTAGAATTTGTTTTAGCTAAGGAACAAAGAAACCTCAAGAACACAATAAAGTCATTTAGTTTAACCTGAGTACATTGTTAATTTGCATAATTTTTTAATACATGTACATAACACCTTCCTCTGTACTCAAATACTCACTATTATATTATCTTTTTGTCATATTCATCCATCTCAATTTTCTATCTCATTAATCCTCGAGGAAATAAAAGAACAAAGAATGGGGAAATAATAATGACAAGAGACTTAGAAGGGAGAACGAAGGCTTTTCCAACTCCTGCAGTCTGTGGTACAACTCTAGGCCCAAGGTTAACTCAATCACTTAGTAACACGAAGATCTTAAAGTGAAAAATTCGATTATCTTCTGTCAACTGAGGTTGCCGCTAATTTATTTTTTTTTTTTTGCAGTTTTCTTGTTCTCTTTCTAACTATTTAATAACAAGAAAATGGATAAGCTTATAAAATTCAGTAAGTGGTTTCTGGAGTTCCTCAAGAGAAAGTGTATCACAGAAAGACAAAAACAACAATAAAGAATTATGTTAAACATGGGTTTTCTTAAGAAACTTAAGGAAGAAAAATGGAAATAGAGTCCCCTATCCTCAAAAACAAAACAAAACCTAAATGTTAGTGTGGGAATTATAAGCAAATAAACAGGAAGAAAAAAGAATGGGGGATTAGATAATTGGTAAAGGGCAGTGTGGCCTTAGATTCAATGATCAGTATATTTTATGCCTAACTAGCACCTCAAAAAGACTGCCTGGATAAAGTTGCCATGGTGTGCTAGAGAAAATAAGTTACTTCTCTTTCTGCTTCTTCTAAGTCTCATGTACAACTCGGAAAGCAAAGGATGAAAAGATGAACAAGAGACTGGGAAAGGTGAGCACATGGAGTCAGTCATGGTCTGATGCCTTCCAAAGGTAAACGGGCCAAAAAGGGAACCGGAGAGGAGAACCAGATCATGTACTCATCTCTTCCATCTGCCCTCCTCTAATCCTCCTCACCACTTACACAGTTCCGAAGAGCAGAAAGCCCACCAAGTTACCAGGTGCAGGAAAATTATCTGGCTTCAGCCAAGCCATGGAAAAATTCTGCCATTTCTCTTTGGGGATTCTAGGAAAGTCATCATCTCCATGGATATCATTGTTTGTGATTCTATTAAAACAATATTCAAAAACATCAAATCCTAAAATATATGAGACTTAATATACAAACTCAGTATTTCTAGGATCTGTAAAAATTCCGTACAGTTGGGGAGAGGGGCTGATAGCAGAAATATTTTAAGTACTGGCATAGTTTCCTTCAAGTCCCTAATAAGAGACTTTACTGTGCTTGTCACCCAGCCAATGTCATGATAAAGTAATACTGTTAGAAAAGGAGAGCTTCTGATTTACTTCATGGATGATTTCAATGTTTTGCTTTCATATTACAATAAAAATAAAGGGTAAAAGTAAATGGTATAGAAAGGCTTCTCTTTCCTACTCATGAAAGATGAAGAAAACATAGGTGATATTACTAACAGAGGAATAGTGTTCTGTATCTATTATCACTGGGCAAAAATGTACCATTACAACTGGCTATAGTTTTCTGTCTCTTGTTACTTGTAATGACAAAAAGGCCTGAGTTTGTTTGAACAGTTTTTATGCAAGGTTTAGAAATTAACATATAGCATGGTTACCAAATTAATACTTACGCTTCTCATCCTCAGGTTAAAAACTTACAGGAAAAAAAAATTACTTGCAGTATTAATATCAATACAAGGCAAACCTTACATGTAAAGGCAGTGCAGGATAAGAGTTTCAACAGCTTTTGTAAAACTACAAGGGACTGTGCTAATCCTTTTATATCTCAAGAATTATATAGAAGGGTAAATAAAAATTAAATTACATTTATACAAGAAACTATCTTCAAAAAGTTGTTTATTTGAACTTTCAGATATAGAATTCAATAGTATAAGAAAAAATTATTTAACTTTGATTTATATAAATCCAAAAATAGTAAAATATATTATTTGGGTGTGTGTGTGTGGGGGGATGAGTTCACTAAATACAAACATAATGGACTAAATAAACTAGACTGAATATAAAACAGTTTCTTCAAAAACTTCCAGAAAAAGTAAAGGCAGAATGGCACAAAGTTAGAAAAGTAGTGCTTAAAACAAACTAGTAATAAGTAATCTTAACTAAACTAGGAGGTATACAATCTCATAAACAAAATAATTCCCTCTCAGAATTTCTCTATTATAGTTCAGGTGGGACAAGAACAATGGCTGTTTTCAGGGTTTATATGTTGAAGTATTAAATAGTATTATACAAAATAACATGAATACTTCTGATTTAAAATACTTGAGTCATTTGCCACTTAGTTATCACGTAGCAATGAGCAAACAAAATGCAGTACTCTGATGATCTTAGTAGGAATTTATAAAATGGCAAAAATGAAAATAAAGTGGAATTTCTCAGCCTGTACGTATACACGAGAACAAAAATAAAATGGGCAATTCAGGTATTTTGGCCCATGTTGTTAAAAAAATGCACAGTGCAACATCTCCCTACAAGCAGGTGTGTTAGGGCAAATTGTTGATCACACTGCTCAGCATCAGATCTGAGATCGTGTGGACACACAAAACACTTCATAGCCTGACAGGGAAGAGATTAACCATGTATTAAAATACACAATGCTTTAAAAGAATATTCAGTAAACATATCTTTTAATTATGTCTTCTCTAAAAAACAAAATAATCAAGTATATAGCATTAATTTAAGTGTCTTACCCCATGACTTTTCACCTTATAAACTGGATATATCAAATTATTCTATAAATATATTTATATATTTTCTTGAGAACTATCGTATACGAAATTATATGATCTTAAAAAGGATCTGTTCCTTTTCATCTGTTGGAATGACACCATCCTTTCTAGAAAAACCAAAATTACAACCTACAGGAAAATGATAAAAACTGCTAGATTCACTGAAGCTACTCAATTTAAAGAAAGTACAAAATCTTCCTTTACAACAAGCTATGAGAGGAGAAGTCCCAGTATCCTACACCAGTCTTCTCTCACACGTTCCTAGGTGGGAGGCGCTGCTTATACATGCCTGCTATTGCTTTGGCTGCACTGTAGATCATCTGTCGACGAGACATGCCCGTAAAAGCCATGTGCCAATCAGTCCGGCTGACGTTTAGTAAACTCTTTTCCAGGACTTCACCCACTGTTACCAAAAGGCCTGACCACCTTAAATTGTAGTCCTGAGGAGTCAGATTTTGAGCCTATGGAAAAAATTAAGTAGATATTATTTATAATACATTTAACAATACCACTGGAAAAAGCTGTGTTACGAAGTGACACTTCCAAGTCTCTCAGGTTACTTTTAATATAGAGAAATCCTTAGAAACGCAGCTAGGCTACAAACTACATTAAAGTTACAAGGCTATAAAAAAATCAAAATAACACTGCATACATGTACTTTGTTTAAAATATCTATATTAAACTCATTGTGTTGTTCAAATATAATCAAAGCCTTAAGGTCTAATGACTCTATCCACTGACAAAGTTCAGAGGCAGGTTATAATTCTAGTTCTATATTCCGTGTGAGTTCTAGCTAATAATAGGATTAGTTAAAAAATGGAAATATTACTTGCATCTTTTTACAATGATAAAATTGCTACTAGAAAGGGGGAAAATTTAAGGCTTCAACTCATTTAGAAGAGATGCTCAATTAATCTGTAAGTCTTTTCCAGGCAACTGCATAAACATTTAAGCAAGTTAATGTTGTTGGTGTTGGATGCCAAGGAGTGTATTCCAACTCATGGAGACTCCATGTGTGCAAAGTAGAACTACTCCATAGTGCTTCAAGACTGTGACCTATTGGAAGCCGATCGCCAGGTCATACTTCTGAGGTGTCTCTGGATATGTCTGAACTGCCAACCTTTTGGTTAGCAGTGTACTGATTAAACGTTTGCACCACCCAGCAACTAATGCATATCAATAATATCCAATCCAGGATAGCATCAACCATTGTTACATCATTTACACTTAACCTAACCTATGTTAGCTCTCACTCAATTTCTACATCTACACAAGCATAAGAGAATAAACACATTGCTTGATACCCAAGAATGATGTAGTTTTTCTGTTTCAGTATCAGATACAGGCTAGAGGACTATATCCACATGTAAAATGGATCTACAAAATGATCCCCAAATCTCCTGTATACCACAATCACCTAAGGAGCTTTTAGAAAATCACAGTTTTTCAAACCCCATCTAGACTACTGACTTGGAAATGCCATAGCTGAGACCCAGAGGAAAGGTACCACTTAGGTTTCCAAGGCAGTATCTCTATGGAAGTAGATTGCCCAGTCCTCTGTCTGAAGAGTGGCTGGTGGGTTTGAACTACAGCCTTCTGGTTAGCAGTCAAATGCCTTAGGCACTATGCCACCAGAGCTCCCGAGAGAAAAGGAATTTTATTTACAAAATAACTTCCCAGGTTAACTCTGATGCAAACAGTCCAGCATATGGGAACCACTGCTTTAAGTACTATCTTCACAATGCACACTGCACTATCAGTACTTCACTGTTTCAAAGAAGAGAAATAGCAGATACAATGCTAAGGTGTTCAGAGACTCTAGTAGAATTGTGTTAATCTAACTTTGATGTGCATAACAATCACCTAAGGGGCTTATTAAAATGCAGATTGTAATTCAGTAGCTCTGGGCTTCTGAAGTTTTAACAAGTTCTCAGGTGATATTTATGATGCTAGGCTGAGGATCACTTTGTTTTTATTTTTTACATTTCTGATCACTTCTGAATAACAAGGTATTTGATATTATCAACCAAAAAAACAGAATAGTTGGGTTTTTAACTGGGGGTGAAAGGGAGATCATTTATACTTAAGTTCAACAAGCATAAATGATATGCATATAAATTGCAAATTGTCACTGAGAAGACTAATATACTGATGGTAATAATAATTCTCTGAAAAGCTGATTTATAGTTCATTAAAAAAAAAATTTCAACAACAAAGAAGCACACATATAAAACAATTAAGGATGGATAAAAGAGTAATGGATATCATTAACTGACTTCAGAGAGAAGCTGAATACCTGGGGCTGATGGGAAGATACACCCATCAATGTATCTTCTGAATTCTGAACACGACAAAAAATAAAACAATGGAATAAAAACCTGAGTAAAAAGCAAATGACACACTTTAAATATTACTCTCCAGAGTTAAGCACTATTAACAGTTTGCTGTGTATCTTTCCAGGCCTTTTTTTTTCTTATTCATTTCTGTTCATTTATAGACATTTTAAGGCACATTTATGTTCCCTTCCAAAAATGAAATGGAACACATAAAGATCAATATCCTAGGCATTGTTGTTGTTGTTGTTATGTGCCATCAAGTCGGCCCCGACTCATAGCGACCCCTCCTTGGGTTTCCGAGGCAGTATCACTACGGAAGTAGGATTGCCCAACCTTCCTTCCGAGGAGTGGCTAGTGGGTTTGAACCGCCAGCTGTCTGGTTAGCAGGCAAGTGTCTTAGCCACTATGCTACTGAGCTGAAATGGACTGCTTTTAGCCATTTTGAACCAGGCAACCATATGATTTACAATGAGGATAATGACAAATTGAAGAGGAATGGCGTGGCATTCATCATCACAAAGAATGTTTTACGATCCATCCTGAAGTACAATGCTGTAAGTGACAGGATAATATCCATACTCTTACAAGGAAGACCAGTTAATGCTACTATTATTCAAAAGTATGCACCAACCACCAAAGCCAAAGACAAGGAAATCGAAGATTTTTACCAACTTCTGCATTGTAAAATTGACCAAACATGCAATCAAGGTGTGCTGATTATCACTGGTGACTGGAATGCAAAAGTTGGAAACAAAGAAGAATCACTGGTAGTTGGAAAACACAGGCTTGGTGACAGAAATAATTCTGGCGGTTGCTTGAGAGAATTTTGCAAGACCAATGACTTACTCATGGCAAATACCTTTTTTGAACAACATAAACAGCAGATATACACTTGGACTTCACCAGATGGACTATACAGGAATCAGATTGACTACATGTGTGGAAAGAGGCGATGAAGAAGCTCAGTATCTGCAGCCAAAACAAGGCCAGGAGCTGATGTGAAACAGACTATCAACTGCTAATATGCAAGTTCAAGCTGAAGTTGAAGACAATTAAAACAAGTCCTTAAGAGCCAAAATATGGCCTTGATTATATCCCTCCTGGATTTAGAGACCACCTAAAGAGTAGATTTGATATACTGAACACCAATGATAGAAAACCAGAGGAATTGTGGGATGAGATCAAAAACATCATCCATGAACAACCCAAAAGGTTATTAAAAAGACAGGAAAGGAAGAAAAGACCAAAATGGATGTCAGAAGAGACTCTGAAACTTGCTCTTGAGTGAGGAGTAGCTAAAGCAAATGGAAGAAATGACAAGATAAAAGAGCTGAACAGAAGATTTCAAAGAGCAGCTCGAGAAGACAAAGTCCATTTTTATACTGAAATGTGCAAAGATTTGGAATTAGAAAATCAAAAGGGAAGAACACACTCGGCATTTCTCAAGCTGAAAAGAACCGAAGAAAAAATTCAAGCCTCAAGTTCCAACACTGAAAGATTCTACGGGTAAAATACTGAATGATGCAGGAAACATCAAAAGAAGATGGAAGGAATACACAGAGTTACTGTACCAAAAAGAATTGGTCGGTGATCATCCATTTCAGGAGGTGGCATATGATCAAGAACCAATGGTACTGAAGGAAGAAGTTGAAGCTGCACTGAAGGAACTGGTGAAGAACAAGGCTCCAGGAATTAATGGAATATTTATTAAGATGTTTCAACAAATGGATGCCATGCTGGAAGTACTCACTCATCCTCATCTATGCCAAGAAATGTGGAAGACAGCTACTTGGCCAAGTGACTGGAAGAGATCCCTATCTGTACCCATTCCAAAGAAAGGTGATCCCACAGAATGTGGAAATTATTGAACAATATCATTACTATCACACACAAGATTACTTGTGTGTGGAAATTACTGAACAATGTCATTACTATCACACCATTACTGAAGATAATTCAAAAACGGATGCAGAAGTATATCGACAGAGAACTTCCAGAAATGCAAGCTGGATTCAGAAGAGGATATGGAACAAGATATATCACTGCTGATGTCAGATGGATCTTGGCTCAAAGCAAAGAATACCAGGAAGATGTTTACTTGTGTTTTATTGACTATGAAAAAGCATTTGATTGTGTAGATCATAACACATTATTGATAACACTGAGAAAAATTAATTTCAGAACACTTAATTATGCTCATCCATAGACCAGGAGGCTGTCATTTGAACAGAAGGGGACACTGAATGGTTTAAAATCAGGAAGGGAGTGTGTCAGGGTTGTATCCTTTCACCATGCTTATTCAATCTGTATGCTAAACAAATAATCCAAGAAGCTGGACTATGTGAAGAAGAGCATGGCATCAGGACTGGAGGAAGACTCATTAACAACCTGCGATATGCAGATGACACAACTATGCATGCTGAAAGTGAGGATGACTTAAAGCACTTACTGATGAAGATTAAAGATTACAGTCTGCAGTATGGATTACATATTAAAATAAAACTAAAATCTTCACAACTGGAACAGTAAGCACCATCACAGTAAATGAAAAAAGATTAACGTTGTTAAAGATTTCACAATTACTTGGTTCCACAATCAACACCAACAGAAGCAATAGTCAAGACATCAGATAATGTATTGCATTGGTCAAATCTGTTGCAAAAAACCTCTTTAAAGTGCTGAAGAGCAAAGATGTCTCCTTGAAGACTAAGGTACAGCTAACCCAAGCCATGGTATTTTCAATCACCTCTTATGCATGTGAGAGCTGAACAATAAATAAAAAAGACTAAAGAAGAGGTGATGCTTTTGAGTTGTGGTGTTGGCAAAGAGTACTGAAAGTACCATGGACTGTCAAAAGAACTAACAAATCTGTCCTAGAAGAAGTGCAGCCAGAACGCTCCTTGGAAGCGAGAATGGTCAGACTTCGTTTGGCCCACTTTGGTCATGTTGTCAAAAAGGATCATTCCCTGGAGAAGGATATCATGCTTGTTAACTGGAAGGTCAACCAAAAAAGGGAAGGCCCTCACTGAGATGGACTGACACGGTGGCTGCAACAATGGGCTCAGACATAAGTACTATGAGGCTGGCACAGGACCAGGCAGTGTTTCATTCTGTTGTACATGGGG